AGACTGATTTGCACTGTCTACCTAGCAGGACTCTGAAAGGACAAGCAATCATCCATTTGCTTCTTTCTATGGTTTTGATAAGTTTCTAAACAATTTTGTGGAATAAGCTATTGTAAAATCACATTTAAAACCTATTGAATGAAATATATCTTTAATAACTCTTTTTTGGGTTTATTTCTTTATAATTTTGCACTCAAGAGTAGTAGTTACTACGTATTTTTGTTAATAACCAATTGCAAAATAACAGTCAGACTTTATTTTTTCACTTTATTATTGGCAAAAGTAAGTTAGGTATGTCTTAACTCTTTAAAAGCTCAATGATGAATACATAGCTTGTAGGATAGAGACATTTTTTCTGTAAATGTTTATAAAACTTATTAAATTATAAAATAGATATAATTTTAGTATAAAACTTTGGGAAGAATAAAAGGCAATGAAGCAAGACTTAGTCCTTTCTGATCATAAACCTTCTATAGGTGGGAACTATGCCTCATTTATCTGTTATGTCATCTATATTTTCTAACATAGAGTAAGACCAGCTGAGGAGAGGAGACAGAGTAAAGGACTTAGGATGGAGAAAAGTAATGAAGAATTTAAAAATACTTTGTATTTAGCTATGCATGCTCATTATTCTCAAAGTATACTTGATAAAAATCTATCTTTTGGATATTAATTTGGAAGGTATTATGAACAAGTTTTTGCAAAACAGAAATTTTGGCCATCAGGAAGTAGATATATAAACAACAATTAGTGTGTGTATCAGAGTGTTTAATTTGCTTTTTAGTGTTGTATGTTTTTGTTAAAAGGCAAAGGAATATTATTTCTTCTTGTTTGCTGACTACTTGTGTAGTTTTGTGTATAGATCTTGTAACAGGTAGAGTCCCAGATGAGCAAAAAGAGAAATATGGCCTTTTATTAATAGCACATGTGTGCTGTTTGTGAAGTTTACATTCATTTTAGAGAATAAGTATATGCATATAACAAATCTCGGTTTTCTGTAATTAAACTTATCCTAACTCATTCTCAGATCTCCTATATAGTGGATGACTAGCTTTAATCTTGCAGATTTAGGAAATTCATTCTATTTTACATCATTATTCAGTTTCTTTAGAAAAAAATTCAATGTCCTTTTTTCTTATTCTTTCCTTTTACTCAGATTTCTTTGTCTTATATATCCAGATAGTAGGGAAATAAACTTGATGGTATTACCAAGTTGACGGACTATACCATAAAGTATAGCATAAACTTCCTCTTAACACTTTGCCACAGATACATTTAAAGTCCAGCTTCAAGAATATAAAAAAAAAGCTCTCAGTGAAGTCTGGCTTATACATTTCATCTATTCTGTGGTCTGTAGATCTATAATATTTTACTTTGAAAGTCAAATAAGTTAACTTTATTCCCATTATATTTTTGTTTGGTTTTGAATCTTCTCCAAGGCAATAGAACTGATCTTCAATTTTTGTTGTAATTGGAGAAATAATATTCAATAAAATTATACAATTTTTTAAAAAACTGAATGTTGAAATCTTTTACAATTAATTTTATTGGCACCTTTTAGGTATACAATAGAATGACATTGAAATCTTATTGTGATATACTTACTGCAGTTATGGAAGGCAGAGTCAGCCAGAAAAGTTAAAAACAAATATCAGTTCCCTTTTTTTGCCCTTCATAATACTGTTTTCCAACGTAATATAAATCACTCTTTACATCTCAGGGTGGCAATAAGATGATTGATGGAAATTGCTAGTAATTTAGCAATTCTCTGCTCTTAAAATAATGCACTTCAGCATTTGCTCTAACACTGGGATATTTCACCCCTCACCTCAAATCAAATGTTAAGCTGATGCTCTAATGGTGTTAGAAAAGTCTCCCTTATGTGTCAGTTCGTCAGAGCATAGAATTCTAAATGTGCTTGCTCTATAATAATATGGTCACTCTTTTTAGCCATATTTTTCTTTTTTTTTTCTTTTTAACGGGAATCGAACTCGAGCCCTTGTACTTGCAAGGCAGGCAGAGGAACCACTGAGCCAAATCCTCAGCCCATAGCCACATTATTAAAATGATGCAATTTTTGGATTTTTTTAGTCCCAGTGTGAAAAATTAATCAGAGCCAGAACTCCTAATGACTTTTGCTGTGCCTAATGACTAAACCTATTCCATCAGCAAAATCTTAAGGAATACAACTGTAGGGAGATTTGTACAAAGTATTTGGCACTTTTTTTGCTCCTAGGAAAAATGGCTCTATAGCTATACAGAAAAACTCAAATAATTCTTGAAGGTTTTTGTCAAAATATGAATAACACAATACTCATTTTTAAAAATTTGCTCAATGTGTCAGTTACTCAACATTTTGATTTTCTTTTACTAGAAGAGTACTCTTAGAATTCCACGCAAATAGATGTTGCTAGCATTCTATGAAATATTCAGGGTAATAGAAAAATGTCACTATAATGGAAAATTTCCAAGTCTTTCCCATTATTTTTCTTCTATATTTATTTGGAGTAATTCCAAGATCATTTAGTCATCATCTCTAGCATTCTCAGATTAAGTCTATTACATGCCGCTTGACATTTATTTCACTATTCATTTTTAAAATATTGTGTATGTTCATGTGGAAATTTCATTTTATGTTTAAGCTTACCTCTGTAATTCTTCAGTCTGATTAACACTGTGTCTCTGATAGCATTATTTAGCTGTAAGCAATAACCACACAACTTTCTGTAATGCCAAACAAAAATTGTGAAAAATCTGTATTGTATTTCATTTTTTGTTTCAAATAATAAAAAAAATAGATAAACATATGTATCATTGTTCTACAGAGAAGGTGACAACTCAATTCAGGGATAGCGAATATTCTTTGCAAGGACAAAATTCTACTGCAAAAAAATTACTTGGAAAAATGTAATTTGTGACAGTTATGATTTCATCTTTAATTAAACAGATATTAGTTTATTAGGCAAATAATCTTCTAAGAATGATCAATGTTTTTTTCCTAAATTTAATTACACTTTCATAAGATGGAGCAAAAATGACACTGAAATTTAGAATTAAGCACTAATAGTGACTAAAGATTAAATACTCATACCTGTATGTTTTATTTGTTTAAAAAGATTTACTGATATGCCTGGAAAAGAATAGTTTTTTAAGGCCAGGGATTTAGCTCAGTGGTGCTGCCACCTGCATCCCAAGTGCAAGGTTCCGAGTTTGATCTCTGATACAAAAACAAAAAACAAAAAACAAAACAAAACAAAAAAAGGCTTTTTAATGTCATTAAAGTGAACATCTGTGGATTTAAAAAATCTTGTTGATTATTGTGCCTTCTGCACTTAAACTTTAGTTACATGGGTAATCTGATGGTCATGATTCAGAAGTGTTTTCTGTTGAGATGTAACCATACATAAATTTATTATAGCCCTTAAAATGGCGCTTTCATAACTGAACACTACAAATCAGATTAAAATTCTATTGCAATTATAGTAAATGCTTTTGGTGTTTAACTTTTTAAGTGCAAATATCCTTGATATAGGGTAAATTGAATAAATTTGGGGCTCCATAAATATTTCCATCTATGTCTATAACTTGTAGTTTAAGATTTAGAAAATAATCATTGCTTATGTCTTATAATAGGGCTTCATTCATTCAACATTCTTGTTACCCTAAGAACTGTGTAGTTTGTGATGAGTATTAAATACATTAGGTAATAAGGTAAAATTTCTGCCAGCAGATATCATTCACAGTCTACTAGAAAGATAAATTTATACATGCATCATTAAAACACAGGAAGAGGTTCTATGGGAAGCATATGAACCATTTCATGGGAATGAATGTCAAACAATGTGGAGCCAGCTGTTTCTTGTAAAGAATGAGGAGTTCAGGATAGATTTCCTAAGAAAGGAACATTTTGAATAGCATATTGAAAGCAGAGTTGTACAAGCAGACCGGATTGATGGGCAGTCTGTGTATAGGACAGAGTCGTGGAAGAACAAAGGAGGATTCTGAGGACCATAAAATGCATATTAAGGAAGTATGAGGGGCCCGCAGAATGATAGGAGTCGCCCAAAGAGGTCATCAAGGACCGTATTCTATAGGAGTTTAATTTTAAACTATATACCGTAAGGGAAAAGTGCGACATAGGAAATTGTATTATGAATTATTGAGCTCTGTAGCTTGCTGATAAACAGTCAACACGCATACACAAGCAAATGGAGAGAGAATCAGAAAGAGGAAGAGACAAGAACAACAGGGAGGTAAAGACATGTTCTGGAATACTGAGACATTTTTATTGTAATTCTTTTTTCTATGTGCTTTTAAATAATACAAAGTTTTAAGATTTCAGGTGAGAATTCATGTGTCAAAGCCAGAAGCCAAAACACTGATTCATTCAGTAGTTTTTCAATTTATTAAAAATATCTTTGCCTATGTTTGGTCGTACTGCATGTGTATATCCAACTCTCAATAGTTTTATGAGGGAGTATTACTTATTTCATAGGAAAAGAAAACATTGTGCTATTATCATAACTATCCTGTCTTCATGCCCAAACATGCTAAGAGAGTAGAGGAGATTTGGAAACACTTTTCAGAGTAGGCAACTACCTCTAAGATTCATTAGCTTTGATATATTTTTTTAAAAGTGTGTATGTGTGTATGAGTTTCCATCATTATTTCATTTTCATTTTAATCAAAAAACTGTCCTTAACTTCACCCTTGCCTGTTCATCATTCAGATCAAAAGTATAATTTAATGAAATTCAAATCTAAAATAATACGTAATCAATAAAGGTTTTAAATATATAATTTTGGTATTTCATATATGTTACTATTAAAGGATATAAGCAGATTCTCACTAATTTTTATAATTGATTCTCAGTTCTCTGTGTATGTATCTGAAATCAGAAGTTAACATAATTTTATATATATATATGTATATATATGACATTATATATTAGATTTGTGATTAACACTCTTGCACAACTAATTTGACCTGCTTATTTACAGAAAGTCATATCCTGGAAGATGTCAACAAGTGCATCATAGCTTTGAGAGACCAGGATGCTGAGAATTTAGACCGTGCTGCAGGTGCGATCAGAGGACGGGCAGCAAGAGTTGCTCATATTGTCACGGGTGAAATGGACAGTTACGAGCCAGGGGCTTACACTGAAGGTGTAATGAGAAGCGTTAACTTCCTTACAAGTACTGGTAAGTCTCAGTACCCAATCACAGCTACACTGTTTGAAATTTGAATCTGCGTGGTGACTAAATATTCATATATATGAGAAAAGATTTTCAACCCCATTTTGACATACAGAACATTGCTATACTATGTCAGTGGTACTTAGGTTCTTTGGTTATGTTGTTTCAAATTTATCCCAGTGAAATAAATATATTAACTGGGGAGTCTTTTACAAATGTATGCCTTATATAAACTACCCAGAGGCAATAGTGACTTATGAATTTTTATTAATGTCAAAGCTATGAGGAGCTGCAATTAGGCTAGTATGGTATAAAGTATGTAATAATCTCCAGATACTCCTTTAGCTGTTTTGGTACCCTGAGGTTTTGCATTGCATTTCTTAAACACAGCAAGTTTGTCTTGTTTCCAGAAAAATGCTCTCTATCTTTATCTGCAGTTGTTTGCAAAACATTTTGTTCTTCCACATAATCGTCTTTGATTTCTTAGGAAATATGTAACTAGGGTTTTGTTTTGGTTTCAGCACCCAAGTCACTATTTTCTAAAATCAGCCAGTAAATGCTCTGAATCACTCAGTGAAATGGCATTCTTTTTAATATTATTGTTAACATTTCTCTAAGAAACTTACAGAAATGTCAGGATTCATATGGATTCATAAACAGTGAAGGCAGTCAACAATCTTCCAAGTCATCACGACAGAACTCTTTTCTACGGAAATCCTTGTAAATTTATGAAATCCTCCTGTACATATTATTACCCCTTAATACTAAAGTAATGGTATAGATGTGAGTCCTTTACTGTTTGAAATTCCGTATTTTAATCCCCTATCCTAGAGGATCATACTGGGTATTATGTATAGGGCATATTAAATTTGGAGGATGTATACTTTGTTTAGTGAAAGGAGTATGAAAGACAAGGATGGGTTAGTTTTAAAATTCTTTTTTTCTTTCTTTCTTTTTTTTTTTTTTTGGTGACGCTTTCCTTTAAGATGAATTAAAAGAAACATATCAACACTTAGATAACTTTTACTACAGCCTAGTTCTAAAGAGCTATGACCCAAGCAAACAGCAAGATTTGCAGAGAATTGATTAGTTTTTAGTTTTCCTTGTGTGTTAAAACAAAATCATTGATGAATCTTGGCACATTGTTTTCTCATTATCCCAACATATTTCAAAATAATTAAAATGTGCTAAGGAAACAAAGGAGGCCGTACATCTGCAGCGCTTGGTAGTAAATTAATATTTCTATCCTCAGTCCTCTAAATTACTGGTGTCACAAACAAGGCATGCAGTCTTTGCTTTTTCGGTTAGGTGTGGCAATATAATGTACTTACTAAAATATCTGATCGTTCTACGGTCCTTTGGTATCTCTTCCTTCTACTAGATTTAAGTATTCCAATCTTGTTGACAAAAATCAAGTACAGATTTATCCATGTCTCTGATTTCTTTCTATCTTCTGAGAATTTATTTGTAAGGGTAAAAATGCATCAAGGGTTTTTAGGCAAATGAAAATGTCCTGTAGAAAATAGTAAATTCTACCAGGGCTACAGTGTCTTATTTCTGCACCTCACTTTTATATCATATTATTAAAGTCTTATAAGCATGCTCTTTATTATCATAATGTTTGCACAAGGCAGTAAATTTAGTTTTATACTCCATGGGAGTTTATAATTGCCAGGTGCACAGTAAGAAGTAAAAGTGAAATTCTACACTTTCTGATCAATCTGAAATCAGAAATAAAAATAAAAATTGTCTACTCATTTAACTCCAAATTTGTTAATACCTCTATGATTTATAATGGTCTTTTCACGTATCTAATCAACAAGGCTACATCATCATGATCAGAACAGAAAAAAAGTTATTCTATCTTTAATAGAGATGCAGTGTTAATTAAAATTATCCAGGTAAATTTATGTCCTGCTAGCCCAAATAAAATACATAGAAAATAACCCTGGGCTATTCTTTATAAAAATATTTTATTATTAATATGTGAGTGTAGTTTATGAGGTCCTAAAATTGTCATTTTAGCTTTTCAGGTACTTTTGGTGCATTTTTAAAGAAATCTTCTGATTTTAGAACTATTTATCAAATTTGAATTTTTGCTGAACAACTTTTCTTGAAATGTATTGAAAAACATTTTACTAAAGGGAATTCTGAGCAATATTTTAGATGCAAAAACTAATTAGATCAGGCTGATCTTAACCAAAGCTGAAAAATATGAGCATTCCCTCCACCATGGAATATTGTCTGTGAAAAGTACTTCCAACTAGTCTATCCTCCGCAATTAACTAACAGGGTATGTCCATCTCTGCTCAAATCTACTTCATATTTTGGACTTATTTATAAGTAATCAAATTACATAATTGTAAATGTCATATTTTGTGTTATAAAGTCTCTATAGTTCATATTTTAGCAAGAGAATAGTTGTTCATGTGCCTAGTTTTACTTTTTGTCTCTTTTTCTTTTATATAGTTCTCAGGTCCTTACCCAGCTTCCTGAAATTGACTTAATGAGAAACTGCTGTGAATTGTTTTTATTCCTGAGACTTAAATCTTGGCAGAATTTTCCTAAAAGTATTGTCATCAATGATGAAACCTAAGGCGTACTTATCTAAATCACCAAAGTGTTTTTGGAACATGATGCCTTTGATTTCAATCAGACTTTGTGGCTCATTAGCACATTTTCAAGATTTGATGAGCATCTATGTGTTTTCTTAGCATTAAGAAACAAGGTTGCTCTGTTGCATTTCAGGCATTTACATTGTTCATATCAGCTAGCAGTTGTTTTTAAGTGAAATGTAGTCAACATCTGGAGTACTGCATTCACTCTGAGGCATAAATATTGTAATCTCCATGTGAAATTCTTTATTCTGCCCCACTCCTTCCTGTCACTAATCTCCTGCACCTGTCAAGAATTCCTGATGGGAAAAGAAAAGATATTGGCTTTTTTATTAAATAACAAACCTTATGAATTGCAGGATGAAGGCTTACAAGTTATATTCTTAACATCAAATTTAATTCTTTCATACAAGGTTAGAAGAAAGCTTAAAGCAGAAGTGCATTGACATATTTTCCTGTGATTTTTAGACTCCATCAAATTCAAAAATTATCAAGCACAAAGGTATCTGTTGCAAACATCCAAACTCCACTTAGTTTTATTGTCAGCAAGGCTCATTGACCAACACATAACAGGTGCATAACTGAACTTGACCAAGACATCACTATAACATCAACTGCTGACAAGAGATAGTAATGGAAAATAAAGGCTCATTTGTTTAAACCCCAGCAAAGCCCAAACTACAACTCCTTATCCAGAATTCAGTCCATGGTGTACCGAAAAATCATGATTTCATTTTTTCCTTAAAGGCAAATAAAACAGCTAAAAAGATATGTAAGACCATTTCTAAAATTGTGTTGTAATTATTTTGCTTTAGACTAGTTTAAATAGTAGATAGCCTTGATTAAGTGGATACTTAATGAAGTCGATTACACTGAAAGGCTTGATTAACACATGCTATATTCTTTATATTCTTTATCTCTGTCTTACAAACTTAAATAGTTATGGATAAAAACCAGAGGCTTTTGAACCTAGCAGTTCTGGCTTTATATAGTTCAGCAGTGTTCTAGAAACCTTATTTCACTCTCTTTGGCAACAGTAAATTCTTTCCTTTTTCACATATTTTGGTTTAAAGGATCTGTCTCTCGTCGACAACATTCCAGACAAATGTTTGTTGAGAAACTCTTCAGATATACTTGTGTAGAGATTACTTCTGTTCAGAATACAAAGTAAGCTACAGAAGAAAAGGACAGTTCTATTTTTCTCCTTACATTTCTCCCACTCTATCTTTATATCTTAGGTTAGATTAAAAATTCAAAGCAAAAATAAAAACAAGTTATATTATGTAGAGCCTCTGAGGTTTTCCTAAATTCTTTCTGTGCAGTGGCAATGTTGCTTCCTACTTTAAATGCCTGTCAAAATATAATCATTATTTAACAGTTTCTCAGATGCCACCACCTTTGCAAGGTGTTTCTGATTCTCTTTCAGTTAGCTTTAATTGCTCCATTATCTGTCTGGAATGAGTTTGTTTTCTAGTTAATGTTTGCTTCTCTGTGCCTCATTCCATAATCAGTCATTGATATACAGATTGCTCCTTTTGAGTTGCAATCTTCCAAAAGGTAGGTATCACACTTTCTTTACTTTTATCTTCCCCAGCAGCATTGCACATAGTAAAGGTACCAAGTGATTATTGATCACTAAGTCTTTTTCCAAACTTTGAACTTAAAATTTACTACAAAATTGCATTTTGATATAGTGAGAAAATAAATTGTCATCCCAATTCAAGAAAAAAATAATACTTCAAAGAAATGTACTATGTCAAAGGCTGTAGCAGAGGAAATGTTAAGAGAGTGATTCATTACTGTCGAGAGATAGATATTCGCCACTTCCAGAAGAGTTAGGGTCAGACTTTTAATAGGTTTCTCAGCAAGCTTTTGAACAAGAGATCATGACTTTTGTGTATTCAATTACTTACAAAGACCATCACTGAACTATATCTGTTGAAAGTTCCACTGAACCTAATTTCATGAATGCTTCCAGCAAATCCCTGTAAAAAAGGTAGCAACAAGGCTTTCAAATTCAGAAACTATTTTTGGCAAACTTTCCTCCCCTTGTAGGGGCAAGAGATGGGATTCTGAATTATGCACTTCCTTCCTTTTTTTTTTCCCCCTGAATCTGACATCCTTTAAGACAACTAGACACAGAACATTAACACAAGTTGGCTGACCTGGATAACTGTCTTCTTCCTGATTGCTTAGATGGAAGTTACATAATAACGCAACTTTTCTAAAACAAAACAAAACAAAAACACAAGATCCCAGATCTTTGGAAGTGCTTCTGTTCCCTTATCAGTCAGGACCCCGGGTCATAAAATAACAAAGTGTGGCTACTAGAATGTTTAAGTGCAAAGCCTATATTCTACTTAATTAGAACTGGATTTTGTAGCAGCAAAT